TGTTTAGATCAATAATAAAATTTCAAAATACAATAAGTGTATGGACAAACAATTGTTCAAATTAGAGTATAGAAACCAAATGTACAACTTATGCTAGGTACGTGGACTAATGGCATAAAATGACCAAAATATTTTTATACATTTCATTATTTATTCAAGTAATGTTTCTAAACTGACCATTTACTTATGCTAGGTATTATATAGAAGTAGAGGAATATGTGGTTAATTTTAATTAAGAGTGGACTTAAAATGAATGATTAATTGAATAAATAATGAAATTATATACAATTGAGAAACTAAATTAAAAAGTAGAAAATTTGTTGTCAAGAGAAAAAAATGAATCTACATAGGTATTCTAAAATAATTTTATGAGCATGTAGTTTAAATTTGGTCAAAATTTGAACTAAAACAAATGAGGAAATTAACAAACAAGAGAATAATGAGTTGATTACAAAACAATAAAATTACTTAACAAAAGATCGAAATGATGTCACTTTAGTTTTCGTTATTCAACTATTTGAACTTTGTAAATTTAAACTCGAATAGAATTTAAAATTTAAGTTGATTCAAATAACTCAAAAATTTTGAATATCTATACTCGAATAACTCAAATAAAAAATTATTTTCTTCAAATTAAATCAAATTTTATTTATCCATATTTTCTATAACAATTTTTTACTTCTAGGAATCGGATTAGTACACGTTTCCTTTAATATTCAACTAATATATAAGTAGATATATAATTTGGATCGCCTTCTTTTTAAAGAATTTACAACGAGAATTCACAAAGTCATATATCAATATCAAATATTATCTTGGATAGGGGTTTATCTTTTAATTTTATGAACAGAAAAATCATGGAATGTGATTTGTGTCTCATTAGAGATAGACCACCGTACGTTTTAAGTCAATTTTCAACGTAAAATATTATCTTATTTAACCTACGGTTGTAACTGAAAAATTATATTGCGAGAGATTTATGACTTACAATCGCAAATGTTATACAAATTTGTTTCATTTTTTTTTGAAAGGGTGTTTCGTTTTATTGATAAACCATAAAAAAACCCAAATTAAAGACAAGTGTATCGTTACAAAATTTATCTAAACTAAATGAAGGAAAAAGAGTGCATTTGTCGATGTTAAAAAGTCTCCCCAGATCACATCAACTATATAACACAATAGCGATGCACGAAACAAGACCATGCATGACAACGTTTCAAGTACACCACACAAACATAAAAAATTTCAGCATATTACTCTACCAGGATTAGCGCAATCAAACTAAAAACAAACTGTGAGCCATCCCTGCTCCAAGTAAATCCACAATCGATGAACCCATCCATTACACAACCAATGCACTAGCAGCCGGAATCCAATGTATCAATCGAAACCCTCCCCTCAGCCAGGCAGCATCGAAAATATCCCCCACGCACAAACATCAAAGCCCAAAAACGCAGCAAACTTTGCTGCATTCTGCATCAAACGATTGGCACGTACATGAACATTTGGACCTCCACGACGAATAGAACTAACTGCTGCAACGAAAAGCATCAAAGCACAACTATAATCAGTAGCATCAAGACAGGCCAATATCACACTCCTTTGGATTTCTATTGAAATCTGTAATAGACAAAGCGCTATTAGGCCATTTATTTTTCACCCGAAGGCCAGTTCTAAGGATCGCGGCTTCAAAAATGCGCTCAGCACTATAACTGCAATTGTTAAAGACAATCGTTTCTGCATAACCATATGGTCAAATCGTTTCTGCATAACCATATGGTCCACATAAATCCAAAACATCTCATTTTCCAATAATGGATTCACCTTTCTTCGAAACTTTTGAACACAACAAATTTCCAACAGCATTTTAACGTTTGCAGGAAATACCAACATCGCATCCCAGTGCTGGCAACATTTTTGCCAAACCCGCCAAATGATCTCGCAATGCACAAACAGATGATCTATAGATTCGGTTTCCTTTTTACAAAAAACACATATGCTATTCACCACTCCCGAAACATTCCGTTTCAGAAGTTCGCTGAAAACTGAAATCCTCTGTTTAACATCCCTCCGTACAAATATTTCCACTTTAGGCGATGCTAGATTTGCCCATGTAAGCTTCCAAAACCAATCTTCCTCTAACCCATCGCACGACTTCAACACGCAGAAGCTTTTAGGCGTGTATAATCCATCCGAAGACCTCTGCCATGAAAGACGATCCTCAACATTTCCTATGCAAACTGCACTATCTAAAATGGAAAGAAACTCATTCTAATTTCTCAATTCCCAATCAAATAATGAACGCCTTAACTCAATTCTCCAGTCCCACATATGACATACCATTCATAAAACAACCAAACTCATTCACTTTACTATGTTTTCTGACAGCAATGTTGTATATCCGAGGGAAAGCCTTTTTGAGGGAGGGGACATTCGTCCAGAAATCGTCCCAAAACTCCACTTTTGCCCCATTTCCCACGGTACACCTCATGTTTAAAATCAGTAAGTCTTCTTCCTTGGACAGAGGGGTGGTAATAGGCCTGTAAACGAACCGAACGCACACGAACGGAGGTATGTTCATGTTCGTTCATTTAATAAATAAATTAACATAAACGAACACGAACATAAACGAACAAATTTTTTTTTTGTTCATGTTCGTTCATTAAGGAATATAACTTGTTCATGTTCGTTCATTTAAATGATAAACGAATATAAACGAACGAACATAATAAATGAACATAAACGAACAACACAAACGCAAAAAAAACTTATTCGAACACAACAAATGAAAGTAAAAAAAAGTAAACAACAAGAATAACAACTTAAAATTCATTAATTTAACATGCAACTTTAGAGTTAATTTATTCGAATACGACAAAACATACATAAATCATAAATAAGCTATATGAACATAATAAAGTCTTAAAGTTAATTTGTTCAACAAAACAATCTTCTTGAAATCCAAACAACTTCAATAATCTTCGTAACATATTGAACTTGCCTTCTGTTCAAACATAAATGAACGAACATAAATGAACAAACATAAACGAACATATAATCGAACGTTCACGAATGTAAATGAACGAACGAGTCATTTGTTCGTGTTCGTTCGTTTAATTATACGAACGTAAAATCTTGTTCGTGTTCGTTCATTTAATTAAACGAACGCAAAATCTTGTTCATGTTCGTTCATTTAATAAATAAACGAACATAAACGAACTTCCCGCCACACGGTTCATGAACGGTTCGCTAAACGTTCAGTTCATTTACAGGCCTAGGTGGTAATATTTCTCTACACCCAAGACATCTTCCTCCTACGAGGGGATGGAACAGAGAATTTTGGTAATAACATTATTTGGCAGCCACCACTTTAAAAGACAAGAAAAATATCGGTAAATTTGATAAAACCGATTTAATCAAAGTGACCCTACCACCGAAGGACAAAAGTTTCCCCTTCTACCCATCTAGCTGAGCTTGGAATTTGGCTAATATCGGCCTCCACATTTCCACAGAATTTCTCGGTTGACCCAAGGGTAACCCAAGATACGACGTAGGAAGCTTCTCCCACTACATTGAACTGATTCCGCCCAAGTCACCAGGTTACTTTCAGGGACGTTTACACCATACAATTTAGTCTTCTTTAAGTTAAGAGATAGGTCAGCTGCTACCTCAAACACCTTAAGAATCCTCTTTACATTCTTTATCATCTCTCCGTTTGCTTCCAAAAACATTAACAAGTCATCGGCAAATTGGATGTGGATGATATGCATCTCAATATTGTTAACCGATAAACCTTTGAAGCACCTCATTGGAGTAGCTTTGTTCAACAACCCACTCATGCCATCCCCCACTAAATTGAAAAGCAATGGAGATAGAGGGCAACCTTGCCATAGCCCCCTCCTTATAGAAAACCACTCGGATGAAGAACCATTTATTAAGACTGAGATTGAAGGTGACAAAATGCAACGGCCAATCCATCTTCTCCATCTTTTTTTCTAAATTCCATTTTTTTCAACATAAAATATTGAGAACGCCTAAAAATTATCCAATCTAACCTAAATATTTACGCTATTGATAATTTGTTGATTATAACTGATTTCTATAATTTTGAACTTTATATTAATGAATCGTACAAATTTCCGCTGATTAGCTTGTAGAATAAGAACGCCTGGAAGTACTTGAAGAGACAAAGCTAAGCAAAATTGAGAAAGTTGACATTTGGAGGACTTGATTTTATGACCTATGATATATAGATCATTGACAGGCGAACATGGTATCACTTGGGTTAGCTAGCCCAAAATGTTGTATGGATTGAACATGGTTTCAAACTTTGCACAGTTTTCCTCAGATTTATTTCGATGAAATTTGATTCTATAGAATCGGTTTTAGTTTTCAAAATTAAGTTTGACTTAAAATAATTAGATATTGAAAGAATGATACTCGAACCGAATTTAGGATAAATAAAATTATTTTAAAACCAGATCAAATAAAAAACTAGACGAAAATAAGAAATTCTCAATTCGAATTTAGAACTCACCCATGTCCGTCTCAAAACTTTTACCTGATCAAGTACTTCAACACACACTTAATTGAAAATATAAAAGAAAAATCATATTGAATATTATCACTCGCGCGCCAATGGTCGATCCCCTCATGAAAAAACGTCATATTGAATATTATCACAACGGTTGAACCGGTGCGGCTTATAGACCAATTGTTTTTCGTTTTTTTTATTTAAATATTAATAAAACCGATAACACTTTTTTAACTGTATATTAAACGTGATTATTTCATCTCATAAGAGAAGAACAGAAAACGAAAAACAATTGATCAATAAGCCGCACCGGTTCAACCGTTATGTCAGATGAAGTGGCGTGTTGGTAAATAAAATGAAAAAGAGAGGGTAACCAGGTAATAACATGAAGGGGACTTTCAGTTCCCAACTGACTGCTGCTATAAGGGAAAGGAAAAAAAAAACTAAAACCAAACAACCTCTCTTTTTATTCTCTCATTTGTTCTTCTGCTTCACAATTTGGTCTGAAAAGACACAATATCCGTCCGATGCAGTAGTGGTTACAATGGCCGATTCAGAGGTAAAGTAACTCCACCACCTTTCTGCATAACCTAGTTATTGCTCCCTTTGAAGAGTGAATTTTCACTATTTCTTTTTGTTGTTGTTTGTCTGTTTTAGTTGTTGGTTTTTTTAAGAGTTGATTTTGATCCTTCTATTGGTTCGAAACGAGGATTTTTATATGGTTTTCTTTGGTGATTTCTGGGTGTTCTGTGCTTTGAACAGAAATTGACGGCTTTGAAAAAGGCTTATGCCGAGATAATTTTGAACACGGCTAAAGAAGCGGCGGCGAGGATAATGGCGTCGGAAAGGAAGGCTCAACGGTACCAGCAGGAGCTGTTCGCGGCCAAAGATGAGGCATTGCGTATGTTGGTTAGGTTGAAACGGATGTTGGATGCTAGGGTAATTGTTTGATCTTTGTTTTTGTTAATTTTGGTTTATTTCGGATGATGATGTTTCAGCATGTTTTCATAATGTCGGTTTCATCTGGACAATTGTTTGTTTGGCGGTTGATGTTTTGTTTATGCTTGATTTATTTATTTGGTTGCCTTTTGTTTCAACTTGCTTAGTTGGTTGTATTTGCATTACATATGTTTTGCTAAATAGATACTTCATCAATTTAGATTTGTTTGCTCATTGTAAAAAACATTATGGTCATCATAAACTGCGTGGTGAGCTTGAAAGAATGCAATTCATTGTAAAAAACATTATGCTCATTCTGTTTGCTTTGCATTGCTTTGATAAGAGGTTATGCGCTGTTTAGTTTTAGCTTTATACGGTGATAAAGATGTATTTGTTCGTTTAGGACAGGTTTGACATAGATAAGCTCTAACCTTTATAGATGAATAATTGGTCCATCTAGCCAAGTCTTACGGTATTTGCCGTCTGTGCCATGATTGTAGGCAAATGAAGCGGAGACGATGTCCTTAAATCAACAGAAAAAAATCGAAGAGCTGGAAGCACAGCTGGGGGAAGCAGAGGATATAGTTAGAGATCTTAGAGCAGAGTTGAGAGAAGCTCAAGATGAGTTGGAGAAGCTGACCAAAAATCCGGTCCGGTGTTCAGGCAAACAAAAATCAGAACATGATGTTGCTGCTTGTGAAAAACTGCCAAATGGAGATACAATCAGCAATTTCGGGTCTGTTGTATCTTCTCAACTAGATACACAAACTGACATTGTGACGGTTTCTGACATCAAGAGTTCAAGAAATGTGGGTATTAAGTGTTCTTGTAAGGATAATTGCTACGTTTGTAACCCTGATTTTGCCTCCATAGTGATGAGACGAAAAGAGCCTGATCTGTATAGAAATGGGTGCACTCAGAGGATTCGTGCACTTGAAAGGTGTCTGTTGAATGAAAATTTATCTCCTTCGGGGCAAGTAGAAGATGCTAAGATTGAAGACGCTAGAGAAGATGAAAAAGGGAGGGATATGCAAACTAAAGTTTCTCGACCTGAGGAAAAAATAGACGAGTTCAAAGTAATGCAAACTGATGTTCATAACATCATTCAAGCACTTCCCGTTAGTCATTTTCGCAAGAAAAGGAAAAGAGCTGCTAGATACAAGAAAAATAGGGTTTCCTCATCTATGGATATGCGTGACCAGGTTGTAGCAGACGAGAAAGAGTTATCAAGGCTGGAGAGTGGATCTGCTGAGAATTTAGGGGTTGCATCTTGCAAACTGGATGTCGAGATGGTTGATGTGTCTTCTGTAAACTTGGATGTTAAAGTGTCTGAAGTTACTGAAGGGTCTTCTCCTCAACCGGTAAATAATAAGTTTCTCATGTACACTTTCAAAAGAAAGCGGAAGAAGGATTCTTTGAGCAGCCCCGACAGAGATGGCTCACTTGACAAGGACACTTCTAAAAGGAAGATGGAGGATAAACAAAATGGTTCTCTAGACTCTGAAAAATCCTCATTGACAGCTGAATCATCTCGAGATAGTCGGAGACTAGCACAAGTGGCTCGCCAGGTTGGTTATCAATTGCCATTATATTTGGGTACGGTTTGGCGTAGGCAGGTATCTATGAGCCACATCTTTAATTAAGATGTCATATCACACTGATTAAGTTATGAGAAAACTTAGATTCTAGGGTGTTATCAAAACTTTTAATTCTTACCACATTCAACTTCACATAAGCGACACATTTTTTGTTTTGTTTTTTTTTCGAGCGATTGATTGTTTAGAGACTTTTAGAACAGGTAGGTCGATTTGGGGTCTTTGGATATTTATCTCTATCGATTGCAACAGTTCCAACCTTCCTGTTCTTCCTTCACAACAACTACCTGTTTGCAATTAGACTAGATTGTCTTTAGTGAACATGCCTTTGTGGTAGACTGTGATTTATATGTTCTTCATTATTCTCCTGTGATTTATATTGTCAGAAAGTTTACAGCACCAATCATGGATGAGGCTGAACATGAGATTTTATGTTCTTCATTCTTATTTCTCCTAGATTAAGTTCTTACTTACTTCTAGGCAATATCCGTAGTTTCTTGCAAAATTCAATTCTTTGTCTTCTCATTATCTCTCTGTGGCTGCCCTAACCTGGTTTAATGACCTTTATCTCCGGTGTTCACATGCACGCATGTCGTGTGCACAATTCTTACAAGCCGCATTCTTCCAGTGTTTGAAATTTTGATTTCTGTTCAGAGATGCAACATTCGCTTCCTTTATCATAATACCAAATATTTTGTCCGTCATTTTCTCTTTTGCAGCTCATATCATTATCGGAAAAGAAGTGGAGGTAGCGGTGCATGAATGCCGGGGATGCTGAACAGAAGCAGCCTCTCTGTCTCTGACAGCATGACAACATATATGTTGTTGAGCTGGTGTTTGATTACAACATAGGTGAATGAATATGGAAGGGTTACTATATTCATTACAAGTCAACAACGTTGTTGTATGTTTTTGGTGCTGTTTTGGTCTCGTTGTTATGGAATATATATCAACATCTAACTCTCTTGAATTATATTTGCTTAGTTGCTATATTAGATCACTGTTAGGGACGGCAGAATCCGATCACCTTATGAATTTTGAACCAATTTGCTTCAAATATGGAGACTATATCAAGGCTGAACCTTGTGATCTTTAACGTTTCAGATCAGGGATGCACGCAGAATTTTATGTTAGTTGATGAACCTCTAAAATTTCATGAGGTGACAAAATTTTTAAAATTCCAAGGACGATAAAAAATATTTTCAATAAAAAATACATAAAAAGAATCTAAAATATATGATAATTTTAAATTGAAAAAATAACTTCAGTGATCGAAAATGTCTTATAATATATGATTTTAATCAATTTTTTTTAGATTTGCGAAAATGATTAACAAATTCGCAACGCGAATTCTAATTTCGTAACATAGTTTCCAAATTCGCAACTCGAATTTCTTTTTCGCAACGTGATTTTCTAAATTTGTAACTCGAATTTAAAAATCACAACGCGAATTTCACAATTTAATTACCGATATAAGTAAACACGATATAAATTTCGTAACACACAATTAAAATTCGCGTTAGGAATTTCACTTTCGCAACACAGAAATGCACACCTTTCGTTTACTGACCACATGTTTCTCTCTCTCTCCCCCCCCCCCCCTCACTTCGTTTACTGACTGCATGTTTCTCTCTCTCTCCCCCCTCACTTCGTTTACTGACTGCATAATTTACCGATTCTTTTTAACTATCGGGACAGAAGAATAACACAGCAGTATAAATAAATACTGAGATTGGTTTAGTTCTTCCTTTCTGATTCCAACAAAAACAGAAACGTTTGCCTTTCAACTCATGAAAAGAGAATCGAAAAAAAGTTCATTTCCTATAAAATTTCAGTAAGTTTTAAGTTTCTAGGCAGCCAAACAGAGCCAGATATTAACAAATTCATAACAGCTATTCAAAAATAAATAGAAGAACTTGTTTTGATTGCTATAGATGATCTCATACACAAGAAACAGTTGTGAAATAGCAAAGCATGAGGTTGGAGCTGAGGAGATTGAGGAAGTAACTTATAACATCAACGTGTTCAAATTGGGGGCACTTGTTGACAGTGAGGGGAGAGAGAGAGAGAGAAACATGCGGTCAGTAAGTGTTGCGAAAGTGAAATTCGCAATGCGAATTTCAATTATGTGTTGCGAGCGAGTTGCGAATCCATGCAAAAGTTTGAAGGTTACTGGCGAGTCGAACCACTTTTCGTTGACGAGAAAATCTGTTTTCCTTTCAAACCGAAAATGTTGTCTGAGTATTGTTCACGTACTGAAGGTAAAGGAAGGATTGGAACAAAGGCAAGCTTAGACCAACTGATTCAACCAACCATCACTCCTCCCCCACCCAATTCTTGGTATCTAAGCGGAATACCTGCAAAAACCACTGAGATGCTGATAAATGATCTAGTTGCCGAAGTCGACAGAATCAATGGCAGATGTGACTAGGAAATTTTGGACAAGGAGCTTTGGTTATCAAAGAAGATAAACGAACATCATTACCAACACGAGCAAGTCTGTGACATTAAAGAAAGATTGAAGTCTCATCGGAGGAATCGGAAGTTGTTGCAGTGTCTTAAGAAGCTGTTCACAGATGAATCCTCAAGTTTTTGATTTGTTCGAATTCATCTATATTTTGTTGTATCAATATCATACTTATATCGTGTTGCGAAATTTCTATCGTGTTTATTTATATCGGTAATTGAGTTGCGAAATTTACGAAATTCGCGTTGCGATTTTCATATTCGCGTTGCGAATTTGGAAAATCGCGTTGCGGAAAAAAATTCGAGTTGCGAATTTGGAAACTGTGTTGCGAAATTAGAGTTCGCATTACGAATTTGTTGATCATTTTCGCAAATTCAAAAAAAGTTAGTTAAAATCATATATTATAAGACGTTTTCAGTCACTGAAGTTATTTTCTTTTTTAAATTATCAGAGGGACAATTATCCTTATCCGCTCCCTTTGATCCATCTATGTTTTGGATTTAGATTCCGTCCTGTGTAAATATTATGGGTAAATTTTCAATTCAGATGTTATTTTAACTGTTGGGTAAATTTTCAATCCAGATGTTATTTTAACTGTTTGGATATGTTCATGTTAGTCGGATTGTGTTTTGTGAGTTTTAATGAATTATTATCTGATACAATATTGGTGAAAAAAAATCGACAAGCATAATTGAGATGTTATCAATTATTTCATTATTTATTTTATAAAAATATAAATATAATTAAAAGGATGTTTAGTATTATTTATTTTAAATTTATTTTTTATTAAGTGTATTAAATAATAATTTATTTTTAATAAATGGTTACTCGTAAAAAAACCAAAAATCTAGTATCTAACGAGCTTCGTATGAAGCAAATAACTTTCCCGCCCATTAACTATTTTATACAACGGCTCACAAGTTAATAAGATGGTAAATGGATACAATTTCCTTGATTCCGCACTGTATCCGCTCCAATTGGGGCGGGGATGGGTATAATTTTAGTGGGTAGTGGGCGAGTGTGGATTTAGAAAGTGGTACCAGTCGCGGGTAGTGGGCGGGTAATGGGTTTGAGACCTTACCCGCCCCGCATCCGCACCGCATCCACCCGCCCCGCATCCACCCTCCCACATCCGTCCGCCCAACTAAATATCCATTAAATTTTGGACCATTATGAATTTAGGTGTAATTTTAAGAGACTAATTTATAAATCCTAATATTGTATAAGATATAACTTGTAATTTAACCAAATATTAGGGATAAGTTTATGCATAATTTTTTTTCAAACCTCTTGTCTTCACTCTCCAGCTTATTCAGGTATGTTTCTTCCATTTTTACTTGAAATTTAATTTTGTAAGAGTCATTTCCGTAGTCATTTCATTTTAAGCTCCTCTGCATTTCGTTTTAAGAGTTTAATTTTATTTGTTCGTACTGATTTTTAATTATTTTTTAGATTCATCTTAATGTTTGTTTTAAGCTTAATTTCTTAATGTTCTACAAATCAGTATATTGTGACTGAGCACCCACGTTTTTTACTAACAAAGTCAGATCGTTGTTTCTCAAATCTCCATTTTTAACGCCACTGAATAGAATTAAGTGTTTCACTTGTGCTTCTCAAATTCAAATTTTATTAATGATTGTAATACTGGAGTATCAGATGTCACAAGTATTGTTTGAAATTTTAGAATGTTGTGCCAAAAAACAAAAACATTATGTGTTTGTCATTTATGTTTCTAGACTTTAATTATGTCTTTTATTATGATGTTTTATATACTTTAATATCTATATTAATACTTAACTCAGATAATCATTGGTTTATTTTATTATGTTTCTTAATAGATGTGTTTGTTTTATGTTTGTTGCTTATGTATAACTTAAGTTTGTTGTCAGGCGGGTCTAGCCGGGTACGTCTCCAGTGGGTAGTGGGGATGGATTTGAGAATGTACCCGCGTGGGCGGGTGTGGATTTGAAAATTTTTATCCATCATGGGTGGTGGGCGGGTGGTGGATTGAAAAATATTTGGTGGGTATGAGGATGGGGAGAGGGTATCCGCACCCGACCCGCCCGTTTGCCATCCCTACAAGTTAGGGCATCAAACGGTAAAATCCCCTTTAACTCCCCCGTATAGTACTCAAATATCAATATACATACTATATGCATTTACTCTATTTAGATTATTATACGATGATATATCTAATGGATTACTATAAATTAAAAATTATTCGTTAAAAAGAAAGTGTATCGAACTGTGTATATATATTTAGACATCATTTACTTTATAAGAAAATAAATTATATATATTAATGATCTTTCTGAATATTGAAGTTACAAAGCAGTTATCAAATTAAATTATTATACATTGATCGTTATACAGTATAAGTTAATAATAAATTTAGATAAGTTTAAGGATTATTTATAACATTTATTACAGTCGACGGTGCCAGAAGGAAAGGACGACCAAGGCGAAAGTGGGAAGACTGCTTGAGATCTGATTTGAGGGATTTAGCTCTTACCGAAGACATGACCTCTGATAGGAAAATATGGAGGCTAAAGACTAGGGTAGTCGAGTAGTGTGGGTCACATCTATAGGGTGTATCATCTCTGTCTTCTTTTAATGTCTTTGTAGTATTTTCCATGACTTATACTTTTTATACGTTTCTGTTATTGGTATTTATGAAGGATTAGAACTGGGCTTGCTAACGTTGACTTATGTGTATCATTCTCTTCATGTTTCCTATTTTAAATTTAGCCGGATCTTATCTTATGTTTATGTCTATATGCAGAGATTCTTTCGCAGGGATAATTATGCAGGGATTAATTCCCGTTACAGACGCACATATGATTTTAATGACTGCATATGAATACTGTTTAGCTATGTATTTATGTATTTATTTATACATGCATTGCATTTTATCTAAATTTTTAATTTTCTGACTGCCGGAGGTCTTCCACGGAAGTTACTCTCAACCTGGCGTTGGGGTAGCCTACTACCCTACCTCCCCCTTACCCCATACATATGGGAATTGGGTTTTGTTGTTGTTGTTGTTGTTATTTTGAATTTAATTATTATTTATGATAATAATTTGATAAAATTTAAGGATTATTATATAGTCGTTTGATAAATCTAATAATTATTTTGTATCATTTAAAATTTTAATGAATGAAAAAACTATTTTAATATAATTTAATAACTATTTTTATTTTTGAAACTTTACCCTTTATTTTAGCATCAACATAAAAATGACAAGAACAGCTGAGATTACGCAATGAATAGTAAAAATACACTATTTTTAAAGAAAATAGTGAGAAAAATAGGAAAGGTGACAAGAGAAAAAGTTTTTTTCAGCTTTGAGGTTTCCTCCACCTGAAGAAAGGAAAAAGCCTAATCCTCTCCAACTCTGTAACCATGAGTCTCTTCGGTCTGGGCAGGTGACTCGCAATTTCCACCTTTTCCTTTTCTCTTTTTATATTAATTATTATTATTTTTTAATTTCCTGCATGCTTTGATAGGTTATGTGAGATCCGTTATGATTCTATTGCCTGTTTCCTCGTTTAAGATCAGCCATCAATTCATCTTTCTCGGCATTGTTAACTTTAATTCAGTTTCTGAAAACATTTGATCTATTTTCTCAATTTGCTCTCTGATTCAGTTATATCTCTGTTAACGTTAGCTGCGACTTTATTGTTTTGTTAGAGCAATTGTATTAGTGGCGCCATTGTTAACTTCTTTTGATTATTATAAATTCTGAAAGCTTTAAGTCTCAAAAACATGTCAATCACGTCGATCGTTAATTCTGTTGCTTTTTATTTTCAACTGTTTCTTATATGTTAAGCAAATGAAATTATGAAGGCTAGGCTATACATGAATGAATGTGAATCTTAAGGCTTTTTGAAATTTTCTTCATGTTCTCATTTAATGATTTGTTCTGATTTGTTTTGATTGGTTGGTTCGGTTTTATTAGAACTAGGATTAAAAGCCATTCCGTTCCAGGCGGTTTTCAAGAATGACCATGGTTGGGTCTGTTAGACATTTTGTAGCCATGGTTAGAAGACTCAAGGTGTTGGAATGAAGTTCAGAAGGTTGGATTAAGTGAGAGAAAATTAATTGGAGTGAACAAACATAGTCTAAGAGAAGCTAATTTGATAAAAAAAAACTTGGTAATCAGGTTTACTGGATGGTTAAGATCATCAATGGTTTCCAGTTGGAAGGGTCATAAGATTGTTTTCTGTTTTTCTCTAGTAAATATTGTTTTTCTATTTATTTTTTTTTCTTAATTCAATTTTATACTTTGATTAGATTGAATTCTTCTGAACCAACAAAAGAACTTTTGAAAATTTGAACTTACCTATGTTTGGCTGTGTGTATTCCTGACCCCCACTCCCATGTCTGAGCAGTATAGCTGTTAACCATTTGTGTATCTTCTCGGTTAACAATTTTCCTGATAATATATTGCTCTAAAAAAGAAATCAGCGAACATTCCGCCCCAAAAAAAATGCACCCTCAGGAAGTAAGGTTGGTTATTTTTGTTCCCTTTTCTAATAAAAAAATAATCTTTCATCTCTGCTTGTTCCCTATTTTTGTGCTTGAATCCTTTGGATTGTTAATGTGACCACTGACCACTGGCTCATGTTATCCCCTTGGTAAATAATTTGTTTCCTATTTTTTTATGATTGAATTTGCAACTTTAGCACTCTAGAGGTATGATATAAAGTGTGCAGAAAAGAAACAAAATAAGCAAGTAAGAAGAGAAGCTCCTGAATCGTCAGTTCAATGCTTTTCCTGGCCCTTTTACTTCTTGGAATTTTAGCTAATTAAATGGTTGCCATTAATTCTGGATATTGTTATTTATATTTGTAAAGCAAGAATTCAGTTGACCCTACCAATAATAGCTTTCACCATTCATATTTCCATTTGATAAATTCCATTTCTTTTGAAATCACTCGTAAAACAAATTTTCAACATGATGCGTTACTTAAAAATTTCGGTGGCAAAGTGGAAATACTACAGATTTCAATGTTCTACTGACATGCATGACGGTTCTACAGCCTCATCTGTGGGGCCAACTCATGGATATTTGAGGGTCGTGTATACAAGGACTGGATGTGATAATGTTATTACTATATAGTGAGCTACCTCTAAACATGGTTTGTTCTGCTGTGTATGGAGCTTGACAATGATCGTATAACCTTTTAGAGGTTTCTCTCCATTTCTTCAGAGCTGGCTTCTTTATAGTGTTTTTACGTAAATACTTTCTGCACTTCATTTGGCAATATTAGTGGCTTAGAAGAATTTGCAGTTCTTATCCATGTACTTTAATGACGTAATGCAGGGTGCACAGCTTAAACAGCACATTGATTCTACCCTGGGCAGTGGGAATCTAAGGGAAGCAGTAAGGCCACCTCCCGGGGAAGATTTAAATGAATGGCTCGCAGTCAACAGTATTTCTTGCTCCCTCTCTTTCTTTCTTACTAACATACACCCTGCACACACATGCAAACATTCAGAATAATTCCTGATATATAAGTTTTTAAAGCTGCATGTGTAATTTATCCCTGAATATTCGACTTTAGTGTGGCCAAGCTGTAAGTTACTTCGGTGACTGCGAATTTATTGGCTGATTTTTTGATAGAATGTTTCAGTACATTTTCTTTCTCATTTCTAGGTCACTCCCTGATTTCTTTGAAACTTGTTGCTTATATATAATTGTTGGATCTTTTTCGGCCGTGGATTTCTTCAATCAGGTGAATCTGCTCTATAGTACCCTTACAGAGTTTTGTACTGCTGAGAATTGTCCTACAATGACTGCAGGCCCCAAGTATGACATATCAAACCAGTTCCTTTTGCCCTTTCCAACAATGAATCTGCTCTATGTTTGGATCTGTTGATGATATCGAAAGTATTTCTATCAATTGATTGATGCTCAAAGTCTCCAAGTAATCAAGATAATTAAGACTCCTTTGACTCAAATTTAAGTCTTTTTATTGCTTTGAAACATGCACAAAGATGGCATTTGTTTAGTTTCAGTAAAAAATAAAATTACATCTTGCCAAATTATGGGGAATGCAATATTGCCTAATAAGTGTTGGATGATGGTGAGTTTTACTTTCTGTTTTTTTTCTTGTTTGGTTATTGTACCTTTTGCTATCTGATCAATCAATTTAACACTTCCATAGTTACCTGCATTGCGCCTTAGTAGTCTTGTTTTTAAAATTCTTCCATAGTGAATATCTTGGTCTTTCTGGAGTTGATTATTTTGCTGCCTGACAACTTTATAGGTATGAATATAGATGGGCCGATGGTGGGCAGATCAAGAAACCTATCAAGGTTTCGGCACCAAAATATGTCGATTATTTAATGGACTGGATCGAATCACAACTCGATGATCAATCCTTCTTTCCTCAAAAGCTTGGTAAATTCTTCATTGTTCATGCGCTCAATCTCTTCAATTCTTAGTGACATAGTCTGAAATACTGTCATCAAGAGAGATAGAGTTGTTTATCCATGTATGATGAACAACATCTAGACTCTGTCCAAAATTTCCTATTGTGTCTATGCTGAATGCTTGTCTATGTTCAACTGTATATTTCGAATTCACTAGGTGTACCGTTTCCTCCCAACTTCAAGGAGGTCGTGAAAACGATATTCAAAAAACTATTCCGAGTATACGCCCACGTCTATCACTCGCACTTCCAGAAAATCGTGAGCCTCAAGGAAGAAGCCCATCTGAACACATGCTTCAAGCATTTCATTCTGTTCACTTCTGTAAGTTTTCTTCTGCTTATCTATTTTTGAAGCAGCGGTGTGCATCGTTTGTCCGTCCTCGGGTGCCGGAACATGCATCGTTGATCGGAAAGTTGTTGGTTTAATTCAGTTTGCGGTTTTGCATCTGCAGGAATTCGGGGTGATCGACAAGAAAGAGCTAGCTCCACTCCAGGATCTCATCGACTCCATCATAGTCCCCAGCTAAATATATAGGCCAAGTCTTGAGACCTGAAGAAAATCCCATATCTAGAAGCTGCAAAACCATATGATCCCTACTAATAACATGTTAACACATGAAAACAAATTAGCAAGTAAACCCAATTCATATTTATAGTATTAGATGAGAGATCGCACTAACTAATAATTATATAATTTCATATACCAATAATTATATATATCAAAATCATGTAAATAAATAAATTGTAAATAATATTTTTAATACTAAAATAAAAATTATTTGTAAAAAAAAAAGAAAAAAGAATGGAGCATCATAGAGCGGTATAAGTATAACCCACGTTTATAAATATGAATGTTTCAAACTCGACTATTTATTATGTTTCAAACTTATTTTTTCGTTAAAAAAGTACCTGCAGTTTGACTTGGACGTTAATCTATTAACTGATATACGATAAAATTTGATCTCATAATCTCAAACGACTATCATATCTTAGTCAGCGTGTTAACATCCATCTTAGACGACCATTAATTTTTTTAATGGAAAAATATAAGTTTAGAACATAATAAATAGTTAGGTGACTATTTTGTAATTTTAATAGTCGAGAGACTCAACAAAGTAGTATCTTATAGTTAGGGACTATTTATTTACTTTACCCTTAAAATTCTTAATAGATACAATTTTATAATAATTCCAAACTATTCAATAAAATTTAAAAAATAAGATATGAATGTATGTGTGTATGTATGTATAATCACCTACTACTAAAAAAAATAAGATTCTGCAGGATGGCAGCCATCTACGCCGCACGTGCTGAGCTCAAGCCTGTTGTGCATTATCTTGACGTTATTTCTTTAATGATTAAAGAATGGTGTTTCTAGTGAGTAATGCATGCTCTTATGACTGCATTTGTTTTTTTGTTCCATGAGGTTTTTGCAAAACGTAAAATCAAGAGCAAGTAGAAAGGTCAATAGGGAACACAACAACATATATAATCAACAAAACGAAAGAAAAACAACGACGGATAGCTATTCTTTATTTTAGTGAAATCCCAGACCTCTCCTCACAGGTAAGATTATTTGCTGCTGCACTGTTCTTAGGTGTTGGAAGAAGCACAAATGCGTGTAGCACCACAAGAGCTAAGGCCAAATCCGCATGATTTATTTGCATCGCTGGAACACGTGAGTACTTCATCAACAGCAGCATCAGTTTCGGGGTTAGAACAAGAACACTGTGGGGGACAACCACATGCTACGTCTCTGCAGGAGACTAACACTGTCCAGTTTGCAGCATTCAAACTTCATTTTACTTTTCATCAAACACTTAATGCTAATAGTATAATAACAATATACCAACACCTGTTGATTCAATGTAAGGAGTCTGATGTTCCTTAAAGAAACTTTTAGGTTTAAGTCGTACTCGACTCAACTCTGAATATAATCGGAGCTCCAAACACCGTGGGTGTTGGACAAAAAAAGATGAGTAGAGATAAAAAGAAACAAATAGACTAACAAGATGAAACGAGCAACAGAACGACAAAAAATCCATGCTTGAACCAAGAAGCTTTCTCAATTATGCAATTGAATTAGCATGTCTATATGGAACCGTTAAGTTTACTCAGTTTTGGCTTTGAAACGGATTATTTATAGAGATGAGCCAAGACTTTTAGAGTATTGTTTTAGATGTTTTACCATCAGACAATATATTTAAAAATTGGTTAAAATATTAAGAAACCCACATGAATTAACTTAGTTTCACACAGGCAGCTTTGAGCATATTTATGCATTATATTTAAAAATCTTAATTAGACTGATGGCGAAGAATACTTAATTTGTCGTTGCAGTTTCTGTGCTTGTTCGCTTCTTCGTTCAATTATTATTTTCTATAATTTATATAATATAAAAATTAAATTCATAAATTTAAATTCTGAGAGGCAACTCAAATGTCAATGGTTAATGATGGTTCATATTTTGTGGTTCAATATCTAATCAAAAAGTTAGTTTTACTCTCATAGTTTATTTAGATTCATCCAATGAATATATTTTTATGTATAATTAATGAGTTTTTATGCATGTAAATAATTTTTTTTGAAAGAACACGATATTCGATTACATTAGCCATAAATGGCATCCGGAATTAAAACATCTGAAATACAAGAAGGGGATTCGTATGCATAATAACCCGGTGCTGCAAGGGATAATGCAAAGTGTGCAAGTTCATGAGCAGCCTTATTAGTAGATCGTCGAACATGAGAAATCCTAATATGACGATGAAGATTGAGTAGTTGGCGAGCCTCCCGAAGACGGAAAGACAAAATCGATAAATCCACAGAAGCTGTTTATAACTGATGGATCACATTCACTGCATCACATTCAATCCGAATGTAAGAACCACCCAACTCCAGTTCCATGTGGACGCCGTGTGTGACAGCAGCAGCTTCCACAATGCTTGAGGCGTTCGGACCAGAGATAGGAATAGCCCTAGCAGCCACAACCATGCCTTGGTGGTCTAGAGCGATGATTCCAACAGCTGCATGAGCATGACCAAGAGAGCGAGAACAAGCACCATCCACATTTATAGTAATTGAATCAGGTTTTGGTTTACACCAATGTTGACAATCACCACGCAATGTAGGAAGTGAAGTGGAATGACCATGCACTGCAGCATAAGCCAAAAGAAGCGCCCGACTAGGGGAGAGAAGCTGCCAACCTGGAAGCAATCTATCTTCATGGAGCAGAACATTTCGGCGATGCCAAAAATGATACAGCAAAACTAGAAGAAGGTTCAAGGATGATACCGGGAGGAAGGAACAAAGGTCATGTAGCCAAGCACCCGTCAAATACTGTGGAGCGAAGATAGCAGGCGATGCAAACCCAGCAGCATGGAGAATCGGAGAAACTTCCGGACAGTCCCGTAAAGCGTGAATAACAGTTTCATTATCCCCACCACACAGACAGCAGTGACCGGTGCCAATATTTGCAACCATCATCAGACGTGCAGCGGGCAAAGCCTCGTGTGCCAGGCGCCAACCAAAAATACGAATCTTCAGGGGGATGGGTAACCTGGAGAGGGTCAACCAAAGAGAAGACACTGGTACACTCAAAGGCCGTTGTTGCATAAGAAACATAAATCCTGAGCGAACACTGTAAACACCAGAAGAATTCTACTCCAGATGCGGATATCAGAATACACTGGTAAGTAAATCTTATATATATAATATGGACCGATTTGTTCAGAATTATCCATATGCTGTTGTCCCGATTATTCTCCATCAGCTGCTCCTTCATTTCCCTTGCATTTATCATCTGTTGAGGCTAATTCAATGCCCTCTGGCACTGGACCTAGCACAAGAAGGTTATCCCAGAAAGTAGAACTATCCAGTAAGGCATATATGTTGGAATCAGGAGCATCATCATCGAGTTCTGCCGGAATTGAACTATTTTTAACCAATGTAATGGGATCAATAAACTTCCCATTCCCAGTTTCAGACCCTACGTTGGTTTCAGTGGGAATATCAACAATGCTTTCCGGGACCATTTCCGGTGTTTGAGAAAGTTCGGGCATAATAGTATTTGTCCAAGGAATGGACATGGTCCACATGGATGGTTCCTTTTCTGCTCCAACCAGAGCACTCATATCTGTAGATTGTGCTGTTGTAATCGTCTTTTCGTGACGGTTGTTAAAGGAGTCAAGCCTGGTAGGAGTATCCCAGTTCAAGCACTGCATAGCCTTTGCCAAGAATGTCATCATCTGCTGCGACCGCCGCTCCATCCCTTGAAGCCGTTGCACCATGGTCTGCACCTGGTTATGTGTAGACTGTTGTTGCTGCCTCAACCTAACAAGTTCCTGCATGAGCACATTCTTTCCCCTTTTGAGACTTTCAACCTCAACACAGGCATCCAGATGAACTCTGTCCATGTGCTTGCTGTGTCTGCTGATGACCATGGCCACGGGCAGGGTTTCGCCGGCTAATGTTTAGAAGGAGGTGTTTCCGGCCTCTTAAAAATCCTTCATTTGCGAATTCCCAGCGGTCTGGCTCAATCTTCCGGAAACCCTATCAAAACGCAAAGAACATAAAATATGGAGGAAAAAGGAAAACAGATCACTATGCAGAATTTGTTATTGGGGGAGGAAAAAATAGAGTACGTATCCAAGGAAAAAAGGAAATAATGCAAAAGAAACTCTTAAGTACAGACAAACAAGATACATAAAAGGTTCCTAGTTCAACACATATAACAATATCATGAGATTCATTTAACAATGAGAAGAACAATTTTAGAACCCACTGTGATTAGAGCTTAATCCCCAAGGAAATGCAGTCAGATTTCCTAAAAGATGCCTAGTTCTACACATATAATAGTGATTTGCTGCCACCGTACAATCAGAGATTAATTGAAGGGGCGGATAGGAACGGTCGGCCCTGAAAATTGAAAATTATCATAAATTTTAGATTTTTTCTATTTATTTTTAATTGAAAATCTGCTTTTGTCCCTTAAATTTAAATCATAAACTCTAAACCTTAAAAATTAAAAATTATCATATATTTTAGATTTTTTTATATATTTTCAATTAAAAATATGTTTTCACCCCTTACATTTTATAAGTTCATCCCCTACTAAAATTTTATACTTACAATCATACATTCCTACACTTGTTCCTCTTGAATTAAATTTCACGTTAACGTTTTCTCAAACTTATACTCTATGGTTTTTGTTTTCCTGAATCTTCTCAAAATCATAAATGGAATTTTTTTGAGTTGATCACTTCCAAGACAATTAACTCGATTTGAAACTATCCTAATCAACATGCAAATCAATTACTTTAGAAGTTAAAGAAAAAAGAAATAATAGTAATTGCAATGTCCATTTTTTTCTAATCAAGCTCTTGAAACGCTAACTACAGTAACTAAATAATAATAATAAAGCCCAATGTAAAAGAAATAACAAAACAAATACGAAAAAGAGTGGCGTAGTTTAGTTGACTGAGGAAGCTAGAGAAGTTGTTGTGTTTGAAATACTTGGGTAAAAGATCCCGCGTAAACTCGGCGGATTCGAAACAATGAAGCTGTTATTGATTGGGCTCCAAGAAACGATGGCATCGGTGGCGGGATCATCCACCATATCCTAAGTCTTCCTCAAGAAAGATGACCGCGAGTTCGCACTGAGG